AAAAAAAAAAAAGAAAAGAAAATCACCATCCAAGCATGAGACTACTGGGACCTCTGGAAGATCAGTGACAATATATAACACCAGTGACCAGGCTGCACTGTTGGGGCAGGGGTGTTCAATCTTCCCAAGGGAGCAGGCCCCGATTCCCATCACTTTACTGGGGCTGCACCAGTCTTTAGCTGCTCACAGCTGAAAGCAGCCCTGCAGACAACAGCCAGGTGCACAGAGCAGCCATTGTCACCACGAGGCCACAGGTCAACTATCTTTGGCCTTCAGGACTAAATATCAAAAGCAAAATCTCCTAACGACAAGTTCTCGTGCTGATAAGCATGGGTGCACTTCCTATAACAATTTAAAAATTGTAAAATGTCTTTAAAAGTTTCTCCCTCCATTAGGGACAAGCACAACTAGCTGCTTACCTCCATATGTTCTTGGGAAAACCAAAGGCACTTCTTTTTCCGACATGAACGTGAAATGAAAGACGTTGGTGGTCATGTGCTCTCTATTCTGAAGAGAGGCCACTTCGCTGTGCACTCTGACTTGAATGTAATTGTTCTGCGTAAAGCACACCTAGCAGAGATTAGACACTACAGTAAGTCAACTGCATTAGGAAGGAGAGAGGGAGGCAGCTACAAGAGAAACAGTAGCTTTAGAAGACAGAAATTTCTCTTTTAGGCCCAAACGACCGAAGAAAATTGTATTTCATCTCTCATTGCACACCTACCTGCGAAGAAAGAAAGAGCAATGAGCCAACCTCGACAGGTTTCTGAAACATGATATCATCCACTGCTACCACAAAAGGTCGGGAACCACTGTTGGAGAAAGGCATAAGGGGAGGCATACTGCAAAATTCAGATGATCTCATTTTTTTTCCCTAACAGCTAGCTGAAGCAAAATGGCTCCAGAGATGGCCAGGTTTAAATGTTTTCCCAGCTTGGACTTTCACCATCCTAATTTACTTTGGATCCAGAATAAACTCAGAGAAGGAGGCAGTGATCAGACCACCAAGGAATGATAAGAGATATCACTGTGGTGAGATCGGGGCCAAAATCACTCTCTTTTCCCTTCTACAAATTATCACTGTATTTTCTCAGCAGGTCTTTAATATACTAATTTACAAAGAGCAGTAGGATTCTAAAATGAAGATCAAACCCAGCTGGTATCTGTGTGGTTTTCCTTTAGAAACATGGTATCTAGGCAAGCAGGTGGCATGGTAATTAGGGCTCTAGATTGCCACATGGCCAACCACAGCTTGAATATGGGATGCACTAGCTTGAAAATCATACCAGGTACATATGCATGCATTAACAAAATCCTGGGAGGAGAATGGAGAAGGGATTGGGGTGTGGCCATCCCCCCCTGAGGGCATGGTTTCTCACTTTCCCTCTGTCTCTCTCTAGTAAGCACATGCCCCCTTTGGCAAAAACCAAAACTAAAAACAAAACACAATATTGCCCCAAACTCATTCAGACTGGTCCAAAATGTTTCATTTCAGTGGGCTGGAATAAATTATTTCTCAGAGTTAAGACTGCCTTAAATCCAACTCACCCAAAGCTACAAGCAGTAGCCCATGCAAGTTCATATGCCTTTCGCATAAGGAAACCACCAAAGATCCGATTGAAAATGTTCCGCTCCTAGAGGACACAAAGTAAATGTTAATAAATACAAATGACTCACCTACGATGGTGCACAGGTAGCACCACCACTTGGAAGGCTGGAAGCCATATGGAAGCCCCAGGTTCCTGTCCTGGGCCAACCTGAGCATGCAGTTACACATGTAACTATAATCCTAGCTAACTGGGAGGCTGACTCAAACCCTTTCAAAAATCCCTATTTGTAATTCTCACCTTTTCCCTCTCATTCTATCCCTCTCTTTCATAAAAGGAAAACAAACAAAAATACCTTATGGTGACCCTCACATACAGAACAAAGAAATTAACAATGCCATAGAACAAAGGTCAGCTTAAAGGTACATCAAATCTTGGATGAGCATCATGAATGTAAACTAGAACATTCAGATTTCTCACTAAGTTACAATACCTGAGGGTGGCAAACTTCTAAGCTCTTCAGTTTTGAATTCTCCATCCACACAGCATTAGGGGGCAAAACTCGACTCTGAAAACTGATAGTCCTGTACAAATAGATTAAACTCTGTTAATGCCTTGGTCTCACTGGTGAAAAGTAAAACATTTCCAACAACTCCCAATGCATTCAGGCAGGTGTGGCTCTGGACATAGCCAAAGCTTAGACACTGTATGTAATTTAGAATCTCACCATCCCAACTTACTTTGGATCCAGCGTGCTAAGAAACATCTCGTGAATGGTGGTCCTCTCCTCAGCACTGGGAGCCATTTTCAGTAACGACATGGAGCTGAAGGCAATCCTTCTCCCCTTATTCACTGGAACATGAAAGAACAAGCAGCTTTGGTCACGGGGGCCACACTGCAGCACAGGGGGCCCTGACCTTGGATCCTACAAAGGCACTATTTCATGATTCCAAAATCCCACCAGAAATTTTACATATATCCAAGAGAAGACTACAAAGGCCACATAAACGCCAGTCAATCTTTGTTTTCAGGTGGAAATTTTATCAGCTCAGTGTGAAACCACTTGATGGCAGTTACCCCATTGAGATGCATTTCCCATTTCGTTAAAAATAAGAAAACAAATCACTTCACTTAATGAATATCATCTGAGCAATAAATCAAAGTGTGAACTCCAAAGACCAAAAAGCAAGGTATTATTTTTTTTTTTTTGAGAGAGAGAAAGAGATTTTTTTTCTTTAGGGTGCGTACGCTACCCAGAGAAAGACAGAAAGCGAGAAATCATCCTCGGGGGATGGCCATGCCACAATCCCTTCTCCTCCTTTCTCCTCGCTGGATCTTGGGCACGCATGCACACACATCTGGCATGAGTTTAAGCCACTGGGTCTGGGACTCGAACCACAGCCAACTACATAGGAGTCCAGCAACACAACCATTATGCCATCTGCTGGTCCCAAAACCAAGATATTCTTAAACCCAATATACTCTTGGCATGAGTAAGACAAATGATAGGTATAAATAATCCATATAGGGACCAGCAGATGGTATAGCAGTTATGTAGCTGGACTCCCACATAGTCAACTGTGGCTTGAGTCCTGGCCTGGGCAGCATAAAACTCACGCCAGGTACATGCATGTGTGCCCAAAATCCTGAGAGAGTGGAGAAGAGATTGTGGCATGGCCATCCCCCCTTGGAGGGGTAATTTCTCACTTTCTGTCTCTGTCTGTCTGTCTGTCTGTGTCTGTCTGTCTCTGTCTCTGCCTCTGTCTCTGTCTCTCTCTCTCTCTCTCTCTCTCTCTCCATTGAGCACACGTGCCCTATAGAAAAAAATCTCTCAAAAAAAGAATCCATACATAGGGCCAGCAAGTGGCATGGAGGTAAAGGCACTGGATTCCACATGGCCAGCTGCTAGGTTTGAGCCCTGAACTTGGCAGCTTGAAAACCAAGCTGGGCATGTGTGCATGTATGCCCAGAATCCCTAGAGGAAACTGGAGGAGAAGGGAATGTGATGTGGCCATTCCCTCTCTGGGGTGATTTCTCATTTTTTTCTGTCTCTCTCTAGTGACTGCACACACCATAGCATTAAAAAAGAAAGAATCCATATATAGACAATCTCTTCTGCAGTATAAGTAATGTGCTTTTAAAATTTATATTATAAACAAATTGATGTACGTTCTCCTTGTCTAAACAGCTCCTCCTCCTCTGGGCCTTCAGGGATGAGTGGATTTACAAATGCTGGCCTAAAGAGAAGAAAAAAAAGAATACATTTTAAGATGTGCCATTATTTAATAAAAACTGAAGATGAACAATTGCCCCCTAAATTCTTTAAGAAGAATTATTTTTTAAAAACTTGCTACAGGGCACATGCACTCACCAGAAAGAGACAGAGAAAAAGAGAAAAGGACAGTGAAAAAGCAAGCCACCAGGTCCTGGACTTGAACCACAGTTGGCCATGTGGGAGCCCTGCTTCCTAGTTTTAAAGTCTTCTGCTGCTTGTTTTGGGTAATGTTTATTGACCTGCCTCACACATGAACACTGGAACAACAAAAGGGAGCCTCTGGTTACAGACAGACTTATCTGTTCACTAGGAAGTTCACATTGTTTAAAAAATAAAAAAACACTGAGGCTTGCCAAAATGTTTAACCTGATTCTGATCATGAGGAAACAGTCAAATACATGTTGTATTTTTATACAAAACAAATAGCTTGGATTTTTCAAGACACAAAATGTCAACGGGACTATTCTATTTAAAAACATAATAACCAAATGCAACACACAATCTTATCAGATCTTGATCAGGAGGAAAAGCTATAAAGGATATTTTAGGAACGACTGGTGAATATTGAATATGGACTACATATTAGTTAATACAATTGTATCACTGTTAAATTATCTGGGCATAATAAAGGCTTGAGGTTATATAGGAGAACCTCCTTGTTAGGTGGTACATGGTAAACTACTAATGGGTGAAGTAATCTCAAACTTCCAAATGATTCAAAAAAGAAAAGTGTGTATGTGTATTTATAGGGAAAGGACAAGAGAGTAAGGCAAATGCAGGACAGTGTTAAAGGGTGACTTTAGGTGAAGGGCAAATGGAGGTTCACCACATCATTCTTTTTACTTTTCTGTAAGTGTCGAAATTTTCTAAATAAAAAAACTAAAGGAGAAGGGATAATACTTCACCATGGTAGAATCCATAGGTCTGATGCAACAACAACAGACAAAAAAGCTGAAATAGCCACTTGGAAAGCTGAAACACATCAGCTGGGGGAGGAACTTGAAGCCATGCCCTCAGTGCTTGAAAAGGAGTCCCATGCCAGCCACTGGACAGTCGGTTGGGTTGGAGGAGGAACAGGGAGCAGACGGCTGGTTTTCTAAGTCAGCTTTCCGTGCAACAGAACAGATTTCCCATTGCAGACTCCTAAGTTAAGTTTCTAACACAAATGACAATTTCCATAGGCTACTAGACTCTGTCCTGTCTGTGTACAGAGCAATCTGTAACAACCCCCTCCCAGCCTATCCCACCCCAGATTAGGTAGTTTTTCTCCGTTTGGGTCTAACTCATAGGAACCAAGAATTCAATGTAAGATAAAAAAGATAAAGTCTAAGTCTGTGTGGTTAAATTTGACTTGGAAATGACCATATTATCTCATGAGGTGTTTTTGTTTGTTTAACATGTATCCTAGCTCTGTTCACTGAAATGTCTTAGAAACAATGACAAACTACTAACAATGTACATTTCCAGTGCCTATATTTTGATGTCAAAATACCAGTTCCCACCGAAAGGAACCCCAGGATTCCTTAGAGAAATGACTGTTTCCAGGCCTGGGGCAGGAAGTATATAAGATAAGTCCAAGATATCGTATTGCACCAGAGAGCAGGGGTGTATATCAAAGGCTAACACAGACAAACTGAAAGGACAGAGGACCCGGCTTAGAAGAGTCTCCACTGACCAAAGCTAGCATACTCTAAGCATCAAGAACAATGACTGTAATTTATTAAAATACACTTAATATAGCAAAACCATTAGTTCACAGATGCCTTTTGTAAAAAGCAAAAAAGGTGAAAACCATGTTGTCACTAGCTAGTGAACCAATTCCTTATTCTGAACATGTATAACAAAGGGCAAGAATGAGGCATTGATCCTGACTCTCCTTTAATGACCCTAGTTAATAAGAGAAAGAAAGCTCTTCTTTACAGAACTCCAGCTAATAAATGTAGAAGAAATTATAAAATTTAAGAATCATTTTACACCTTCTAATGAAAATGATTAAAGTGGGACCAGCAGGTGGCATCGTGGTTAAGGTGCTGGACTCTATATAGCTGACTGTGGTTCAAGTCTTGGACCTGGTGGCTTGAAACACTGGACCCGTGTGTGTGTGTGTGTGTGTGTGTGTGTGTGCCCAAAATACCAGGAGAATGAATGAGAAGGGACTGCAGTGTGGCCATTCTCCAGGGAGCGGGGGTGACTTCTCACTTTCCCTCTCACTTCTCTCTGTTGATCTCTGGCAAGTGCACATGTCCTATGGCAAAAAACTTAAAAAAAAAAAAAAAAGAAAGAAAAATTATTAAAGCACTTATCAATAATGGCTAAAAAAAAAAAAAGGAATGGAAAAATAATTGGGGGGGAACTAGCTATCTGCAAGATGACAAAGCGCATCCTGCAGATTGCTGCTGATCAAAATCAGAAGAGGGAAAACCAAACTTCACAATGGAGAGACCAGGCTCTACTGTCACTACTAACAGCCACAGCATCACTGAGTGGGACAACTTGTACCTTCTGATACACTGCAACATGAGATACGAGACATACAGCACTGCCTATGTGTTGTAGTATTCATGCTGAATATGCCAAACCTGAATCTAATGCAAGACTTTACCTTTAACTACAGTTTATAAAAAATAAATACCTGCAATAGAAAAACAAGTCCAAAAAATGAGGAAGCGATAAGACAAATGCAGAAAGTAGGATGTCACATAGAATGGATCCAACCTTCCAGCAGGTTAATAGCTATAGGGCAGTGGGGACACACAACTATTCTAAATTAAAACAGATTTAAGAGACTGTGTACAACTCTGAATGCACTAAAAGTCATGAAACTGTACCATTTAAAAAGGTAAATTGTGTGGTATGTGTGTTATATCGCGGGAAACTATTAACAAAAAATAGACTTAACAAGATACATAAAAATCAAATGCAATATGTGGGCCTTAATTAAATCCTGATCTGAACAAATCATTAAAAACATTTTTTGAGGGACCAGCAGATGGTGTAGTGGTTATATCACTGGACTCTCACATGGCTGACCACTGTTTGAGTTCCAGACCTGGTAGCTTCAAAATCGTACCAGGCACATGTGCGGGCATGCCCAAGATCCCAGGAGGAGAATGGAAGAGAAGGGATTGTGGTGTGGTCATCTCCCCAAGTGGGGGGGGGGGGCACTTTCCCTCTCACTGCCTCTGTCTCTCTTTCTGGTGAGCATCCTTAGGCAAAAACCTCTAAATATTTTTTTTTGAGAAAACTGGATATAAACTGAATATTAGAATACATTAAAGATGGGGCAAGAAAGTTACAAAGGGAATACAAATTTTTTTTTAAGAAAGATTTTTTGCTATAGGGAGCATGTGCTCACTGGAGAGACAGAAAGTGAGAAATCGCCCATGCTGCAATCTCGTCTCCATTCTCCTCTTGGGGTCTTGGGTAGGCATGCACACACACCCCAGCATGATTTTTTTTTTGAGAGATTTTCACTATAGGGCGCATGC